CAGAAGAACTGGAAGTTCAAGGTCCTCATATGTATGTCCATATCGTCAGCTACATAATGAATCTGAGATCAGTCTACAATGTGTGGATGCTGTCTCTAAAAGTAAAAGTAAAGAAATGGGGTCTGGAGAGATGGCTCAGCAGTTAAGAGCATTGGCTGCTCTAGCAAAGGACCTGAGTTTGGTTCCCACCACCCACGTGGTAGCAAACAACCCTCTGTAACTCTAGTTCCTGGGAATTCAACACCCTCTTCTGGCCTCCAGGAGCATTGCACTCATGGGTGCACTTACATACGTGCAGTCAACAAACACATAACCTAAAAATAAATCAATCAAAAAATTTTAATAAAGGGGTGGGAAAGATAATGTTAACCCTAATCAAAAGATAGGATATCAGTGCTAACTTAAGATAAATGGTGTGTGAGAGCATGCAGACATGCGTGTCTGCATGTATATATATGCACATGTGTGTATGTATGTGAGCATGTGTGTCTGTGTGTGTGTATATCATCAAAAGAGGAACAATTTGAGGTGAAAGAAGAAAGAGATGCTACAGATTAATAAAACAAGTATTTACCACTGCTGATCCAATAAATGCTAAGAATAATAAAGATCTGTTAAGAAAAACTTCATGGCCCAAACTTTGAAACCTTAAATGGAATGGGCCAATCTCTTTGAAGACACAAATTACCAAATCTCAGTCAAATCAAAAAAATATGACTTTGAATGAAGACATTTCTTTCTGTGTTTTCATAATACCTCAGCGTCACTCCTCTCTCCCTCACTCCCCTTTTCTTTCACTGCTCCCTCTCCAGTTAACACACCCCCTCTTGCAAATATGACTTTGAATGAAGACATTTCTTTCTGTGTTTTCATGATACCTCAGCGTCACTCCTCTCTCTCTCACTCCCCTTTTCTTTCACTGCTCCCTCTCCAGTTAACACACCCCCTCTTTTCCACATTTTCCCCTTAGTAACACCTGTCCCTACTATTCCCCTTACTTGAGCTCCTTCTTCCCCTATATTCCCATGGTTCCTTTTCCTGGCTTCTGCATTTACATCAGGAGATATACTCCTATTTAGGGATTTGAAGCTAAAATCCACAAATGAGAGAGAACAAATGTTGACTGATTTTCTGACTCTGTGTTACTTCACTTACTGTAGCAGTTTCTAGTTCCATCCATGTACCTGCAAAATTCATGGTTTCATTTTCTTTACCACTAAGTAGAACTCCATTGTGCATCACCTTTTCATTATCCATTCATCAGTTGAGGAACATTTAGGTTGTTTCCATGACTTAACTAGTGTGAAAAGAGCAGCCAATATGGCTGTGCAGGTATCTCTGTAGTAGGACTAGCCCTTTGGGTATATGCCAAGGAGTGGTATGTTCCAAACCAAATGGTACATTTATTTTTAGTTTTTTAAGAGTTCTCTATACTGACATTTTTATCTTGGGGGTAATCAACAGCCCATTCAATGGGAGGAAACTCAGGTGTGGCACTATAAATACAGCAAAATACACATGTCTAGAGAAATCATAGATCTTAAAGAAAACCCTAAGGCTGTCCCATCCCTACACAAATGCAATTTCTTACTATGTGCAAAATATGGATCCTTTTATTTTCAGACAAGTACCCTGTTGCAACAGGTGGTGACTATTACACAGCTCCACAACTGGTCACACACAGACATTGTCTGTGAATTGCCCAATTCTAAGTGGTATATTTACAACATAATCTCTGAACCCAAGGCTCATGGAACATGGAACAAGGGATAAAGAGGGCACCAATGCATCTCTCAGTTCTCATCAAGAAGCTCCCTCTTGCAACAGAGGACGAGGAACACAAAAGTTCACAAATGGTCTAAACCATTTAGAGTTTGCACACTCTCGGTCCTTAAACAGGACTCCTGTAATAAACTCCAAACACCCAGGACTCCAAATGGTCCATTCAGGGCCCATTGTGGAGTGCAGAGGTCAACCTGCAGGGGGACCTTGTCCCAAGATGGTTAGAT